CTCCCACCCCTACTATACTCCTAATCCTCCCCAAACAGGTCCACCAACTGGGACCAAGGATTCAAATGTATGAGCCTATGGGGGCCTTCTCGTTTAAAGCACCACACCTGCCCATATGTCAGCTGGCTGTTTAGAGGCATCTCCATCATGACTCCTGTTTTCTAGGCTGGGGCACATCTATCCAAACAGAATTAAAACTTGATAGGCATCTTGGGTACTGCACACTGATTCCATTTTTAACTGCTGCCTTCTGAATTAATATTTTTAGAAGAAATGACCACACAGCCTATGTAGATGTGTCTGTGCTCTGACTCCTTCCCTGTGTAGATGTGTCTGTCCGTGCTCTGACTCCTTCCCTGTGTAGATGTGTCTGTCCGTGCTCTGACTCCTTCCCTATGTAGATGTCTGTCTGTGCTCTGACTCCTTCCCTGTGTAGATGTGTCTTTCTGTGCTCTGACTCCCTCCCTATGTATGTACTTTTGTTCCTTGTTTACTTTGCTCTGAAAAACAGTCCCCAAGCTAGGTGATAGTGGCTCACACCTTTAATCCCAGCACAGGGAGGCAGGCAGACAAATCTCTGAGTTTGAGGCCAGCCTGATCTACAGAACTAGTGTCAGGACAGCCAGGACTATGTACAGAGACCCTGACTCAAAATGGAGGGAGGCGGCTTCAAAGTGATGTACAGGTTGGGCAGATGGCTCATGGTTAAGAGAACTTGCTGTTTTTGGAGAGGACCTGAGTTCAGTTCCCAGCACTCACAAGTTGGTTCACAAATCCCTAACTCTAACTTGAGGATCTGCTACACTCTCTGCAGGCATCAGACATGCATGCATATGATGTAGGCAAAACACTCCTATAATTTTGGAGCCTGTTCTGGAACTTACTCTGCATACCAGGCTGGCCTCAAACTCAAGAGATTCGCCTGCCTCTGCCCCCTGAGTGCTAGGTTGCTCCTCAGCCTGCTTTCTTATCCACCCCAGAACCCACCTGCCTAGGTGATAGTGCCCACAATAGGGTTGTGGGTCCTCTTGTATCAATCACAAATTAAGTGACTTGTCCATAAGCCAATCTGATGGGACATTTTCTCAGTTGAGTCTTTCTCTTTTCAAATAAGAGCTAGGCTGTGTCAGGCTGACATAAAAACTACCCAGTACTGTAGGGCTTCTGACCTCCTCAAGGCTTAGTGAACATGGGACAGTTATCTTTAAGGGAAGCCAGGCTGAGCCTACTTTCATAGCCCCTATTTCAGCATTTCAGAGGGCAGCCCAGCATCAGGGCTAGGGGTGGAATGGACAGGTTGTTCCAGTTACCTTGCAAACTTGATCTTGTATAACCTTATTGTCCACAGGTGAACCAGTGTGTTATTGGTACCGCTCAGGCTAATAAGAAATGAAGCTGGAGCCAGCGCCTGATTCCCGAGCAAGCGAGTGTGCATGTGTCTGTGTTTTGTGTGTGTCTACCTGGTGTGTGTGTGTGTGTGTGCGTGTGTGTGTGTGTGTGCGTGTGTGTGTGTGTGCGTGTGTGTATGTGAAAGATGCTTTTATTTGGTGGACAACATTATGTACCTAACTATCAAATAAAGACATTTTGTTGCAGGCTTAAGACATTTTCCTTAATCTTAGATTTTTTTTTAATTATGTATAACTGTTTTGCCTGGGTGTATGCACATAAGCACCATGTGTCTGTCTGGTGCCCCTTGAATTCAGAAGAGAGCTTTAGGTCCTCTGGAACTGGAATTAGGGCTGTGAGCGGCTGGTGGGTTCCCTGGGTCCTCTGCGAGAGCAGTAAAAGTGCTCTTAAAAGCTGAGCCATCTCTCCAGCCCTCATTGCCTGTATGAAGGTCTTGTTAACAGGAGTAGCTGCTAGAGGAAGGTACTGTGAACAGAGGGGTTTCTCTGTAGCTTTGGAGCCTGTCCTGGAATTAGCTCTTGTTGACCAGGCTGGCCTTGAACTCACAGAGATACGCCTGGATTAAAGGCGTGTGCCATCACCGTGAACAGTATCTGTAAGCAATTAGAGTGTCCATTGCCGTGTGTTTTGCAGTGAGGCTCTGGGCATTTCACTTAGCCAAGAACTTGGCTGTCCTGATGCCCCTTTTCTATCCTTCAGCACCGGAAGTTATATCCATAGCTGCCCACCACCAGGCCCAGCCAGGGATAGAAATGTCCTTGTCTGGTGTGAGTGCCAGTGCGCTCCACATTCTCTCCCTTTCCCTGCCCAACGGTTCGAACTACGGTTCTCTGCCGCACGCTGTCCATTGGCTGCCCGTGGACACGTCACCGCCTCGGTACTAGCCGCGACGTCCTTTGCAAAACCCAGGAGTTAGTCACACCAGGGTTCTCGCGGCAGGAGGTGTGGCTGCCTGCCCAGGTGCAGCGCCCAGGCGGGGCCGCGCGTGCGCAAAAGGGTGGGGCGACAGGAAGTGTGAATGGGGGAGGGCGGTGCCGTGTGCGGAGGCGGAGCTTGGAGTGGCCACGGGGGCGGGGCAGCTAACGGATGTGGCATGGGGCGGAGCCCAGCCCTGACCTGCAGGCTGGCTGCCAAGAGGGTTATTTCCTGCTGCTCTTGGAGCGAGCCTCCCACCCGAAAAGGGGGCTGCTAGGATTCCCTCGTCCTCCCCGACCGGCCGCGCCCCTAAACGTGCAGTGCCCTCCGGGCCTGCCGGAGGTGCTGCCCGCCCCTCCGGCTTCTCCTCCCCCTGGTGCTCCCCACCCACCACTCTCCTCCCTCCCTCTGCCGACTCCTCCTGCCGCTGCCGCTGCTTTGGCTGCTGCGTCATACGCCCCAGAGCAGCCAGGACGGAGGGGCTGGGCCCGGGGACCCCCTGGCCTCCTCCTGCACGCCCTCCGGCGTCCACACACACTCTTCCTGCACTCGGGGCTCACCCACATCTCTTGGGTCTGCTCCTGCCTGTCTCCCAGCTGCCCCAGCTGTCACCGGTAAGAAGGCGGGAGGCCCTGAGCGGGGGCAGGGAGCGGGGGTCGGTGCGCAGCAGGAAGAGACATGACAGCCTCCTGGTCCCGGTTTAGGATCTGGGCTGGGCAGACTCAAATTCCTCCTCAGACTAGCGGTGTTGGGGAGTAGAGACCTGGACAGGGACACGCCCCCCTCCTGGGGCACTCAGGGAAGTTATCTAATCTTGGGGCAAGGAGCCTCAAATTTGAGGGTGACCTAACATAGCCTGGCACCAGGATAGTTGTTCTAAATGAGACGCACAGGCCCGGGGAGGCAGCTGTTTCTACTCAGGGAAACAAATCCAGAAAAGCTCCTAAAATATCCCAAAAGGCAACAGAGTGTCCCAATTAGGATAACTCTAAACAGCTGGGAAAGGTGAACCTGCGTGGTAACCTTGGTCCTGCAAGCATCTCTTCCCCTGAGGTCCCTGGGAGGTAGGATGCTACAGAACTAGGCTGAGGAGACTGTAGGGAGAGAAGTGGAGTCAAGAAGCTGGCCAGGGTGACCCACCTCCTTAGGTGTCTAAAGGCTTAAGAGGCTGGGGTTGGAGACAGAAAAAAGGCAAAGAAAGCACAAAGCTTTAACACCCAAACTCTCCCTTCCTATTTCTGATTAGCACCCCCCCAGGATGCAATGGCGCAGCTCCCCCGGCTGAGCCGCTTGGGTGCACCCTCTCTTTGGGATCCAGCCTCCCCTGCTCCCTCAGGCCCCAGACCTCGACTTTGGGAGGGTCAAGATGTGCTGGCCAGATGGACTGATGGGCTGCTGTACTTGGGCACCATCAAAAAGGTAAGGGTCACCTCCGCTCTCCTGCCACCTCCTCACTCTCCTGACTCTTGCTCTTACTTCATAACCTCTGCTCACCTGGTCCAGGTGGACAGTGCTCGGGAGGTATGCCTGGTCCAGTTTGAGGACGATTCCCAGTTTCAGGTTCTATGGAAGGACATCAGCCCCGGTGAGATCCCTCACACCTGCAGAAGCTGGAGGGGCTGGGAGGCGCTGCACACCTGCAGAAGCTGGGAAGGGGATGGAGGCGCTGCACACCTGCAGAAGCTGGAGGGGCTGGGAGGCGCTGCACACCTGCAGAAGCTGGGAAGGGGATGGAGGCGCTGCACACCTGCAGAAGCTGGGGAGGGGATGGAGGCGCTGCACACCTGCAGAAGCTGGAGGAGCTGGAGGGGCACATACCTGCAGAAGCTGGAGGGGGACGGAGGGGCTGGGAGGTGCTGCACACCTGCAGAAGCTGGAGGAGCTGGAGGGGCGCACACCTGCAGAAGCTGGAAGGGGATGGGAAGTGCTGGCTTGAAGTCAGCCTCCTGACACTTTGTTCCCTCATAGCTGCTCTCCCTGGGGAGGAGCTCCTCTGTTGTGTCTGTCGCTCTGAGACTGTGGTCCCTGAGAACCAGCTGGTCAGCTGTGAGAAGTGTCGCCATGGTGAGAGGGCAGGGTACTTGAATGGTAGAATTTGCCCTGGGTCTTCTGGATTGCCACTAGCCTTTCTAGCATGGGTTTTGTGTCTCCTGTCCTGGCCAGTCTTCACCCTGTCACCTCATCTCTCAGTAGAGAGGGAGTCATAGGATGCAGGTGGCATATACCACGCCAGGTGGCTTACATGCATCCTTTTCTAACCATGCTTCCTTGAGCAAGGCCCTTATCCGCTATAAACCTGTTCGCTCACTTGCAAAGTCAGGGTAATGCCCACACATCCGGCAGGACCATGGAGGTATGCATACAGTGGTCTACTCTCAACATTGTCCTTATTCAGCGTATCACCAGGACTGTCACGTTCCCAGGGCCCCAGCCCCTGGAGAAGGAGAGGGCACATCCTGGGTCTGCCGCCAGTGTGTCTTTGCGATTGCCACCAAGGTAAAAGCAGCTCTCTGCCCCTTCCTGTGGGAGCCTTCCATGATATCTCCCTTCCTGCTTCTGAGGTCCTCACCTGTTCCTCTGCAGAGGGGAGGCGCACTGAAGAAGGGGCCCTATGCGCGGGCCATGCTGGGCATGAAACTCTCTCTGCCCTACGGACTGAAGGGGCTGGACTGGGATGCTGGCCATCTGAGCAACCGGCAACAGAGCTACTGTTACTGTGGAGGTCCTGGGGAGTGAGTGATGAGGGGTGCGAGCTGGGGGCGGCGTGGTGGTGGTGGTGGAGCGGACAGGGTGAGGGTGCCCCTGTGGCGATGGAGGCCACAGGAAGGCTGTCATCCTCTTGAGGTGGAACTTGAAAATGCTGCAGTGCTGGCGCTGCCTTCAGTGGTTCCATGAGGCCTGCACCCAGTGTCTGAGCAAGCCCCTCCTCTACGGAGACAGGTGAGCCCGAGGGAGACAGCCCAGGTGCCTTCCTCACTGGCTCGCCCTCTGCCACTTGTTGCGCAGGAGGGCTGAAGGAGGTGCCTTCTTGACCTTACTCTGTCCAGATTCTATGAATTTGAATGCTGTGTGTGCTGCGGTGGCCCCGAGAAGGTCCGACGGTTACAGCTTCGCTGGTGAGGCGGCTGTGCCCTCAATTCTGTTGCCTGCTACTGTACCCCAGTGACTCCTGACTTGCACCATGCTGACGATGTCATGCTCCTCCTAGGGTGGACGTAGCCCATCTTGTCCTCTACCACCTCAGTGTTTGCTGTAAGAAGAAGTACTTCGATTTCAACCGAGAGATTCTCCCCTTCACCTCTGAGAACTGGGACCGTCTGCTCCTGGGGGAGGTAAGGGTTCTACGTTTGGGACCTGGGGTGGGACATGAAGAGGAATGACTGCTCCCTGACCTTTACTCTCTTCCTTCAGCTTTCAGACACCCCCAAGGGAGAGCGCTCTTCCCAGCTCCTTTCTGCACTTAACAGCCACAAGGACCGGTAGTCAGGAAAAGGGGCACGGGGTGATCTGGAGTCTGGATGGGGGAGCTGTGCCACAGCACTGACCTGCTGACTCTCTCCTTGTTCTAGTTTCATTTCAGGGAGGGAGATTAAAAAGAGGAAATGTCTTTTTGGTCTCCATACTCGGACCCCTCCTCCTGTGGAGCCTATCACTGGAGATGGAGCCCCCACCAGGTCACTGGTCCAGAGGGGATAGAATCGGTTTGGAGGGTACATGTATAGGAATGGGGGGTCTTGGGGTGCCTGGGAGGGGGCTGGGGGGATAAGGAGGCCTCTTACAGCTTCCCTTCAGGGCAGGGCCCTGGGGGAGGGGTCTCACGTCCCCTGGGGAAACGCCGGAGGTCGGAGCCAGAACCCCTGAGAAAGAGGCGGAAGGGGAAAGAGGAGCTGGGGCCATCCACAGCAGCACACAGTCGGCATGGGTCCCAGGAGCAGAGGGAGCAGGCTCGTCTACGGAGGGCACTGCAGGTACAAGGGCAAGAGGAATCCTGTTGGGCAAACTGGTGGGATGAGGAGAAGGATCAGGGACCATTACAGGATCCCTCTGGCTTTTCTTATAGGCCTCAGTGTCTCCACCACCCCCCAGCCCTAACCAGAGCTATCAGGGCAGCAGCGGCTACAACTTCCGGCCCACAGACGCCCGCTGTCTGCCCAGGTCAGTGCCTGATCGAGATGAGCCCCAGCTATTTCCATTCTCCAGCCACTATCACCTGTGATTCTTTTCATTCTTCCCCTTCGCTTCTCAATTCTTGTCTCTAAGAGACTTGTAGCATGAATGACACCCAGTATTCTGGGAGTTCAGTGCACTATAACTGAACTCTGCCCTTGGTGGGGAAGACACGCTTCAGTCCTCAGGTCCTGACTTGCCTGTCCCACACCTCAGCAGCCCCATCCGGATGTTTGCTTCCTTCCACCCTTCTGCCAGCACTGCAGGGACCTCTGGGGACAGTGAACCCCTAGACAGGTGAGTCTGTGGGGTCAGCTCCTTCCTTTCCTTCTGTGGGCTTAGGCTCTTAGTCTCAAACTCTATTTTCATTCCTTTGATCCACACGTGGTCTCCATGCCGTGTAAGACAAGGTCTCTGTAGCCCAGATGGCAGCCCTCCTTGCTGGGATTAAAGGCACAAGCCACCCCCATCTGGCCTGTCTGGTCTTACTGTTGTCTTCTCTCTTCCAGGTCACCCCTGGAACTTCACATTGGCTTCCCCACAGATATCCCTAGCTCCCCCCACTCAGTGACTGCCTCCCCCACCTCAGCCCCCACCCCCGGCCTTTCTGGACGCTCAGCCCCCCCTTCCCCCTTGTGTCCTAGTTTGTCTCCGGGGACTGGGGGAGGAGGCCGAGGTGGGGGTGGCTACCTGTCCCGAGGGGACCCTGTCAGGATACTTGCTCGAAGAGTGCGGCCGGACGGCTCTGTGCAGTACCTAGTTGAGTGGGGAGGAGGGGGCATCTTCTGACAGCCCTCTTCTGCCTGCCTCCCCATCCACACACTGGCACTTTCATGCCCTGACCTCTGACCTCACCTACAGCTGGGATGTACCTGGAGCAATGGGGAGTAGTCCTCCCTACTGCCCAGGCTGGAATCCAGGGGAGTGGGGAAGAGGTCCTCTCCTCTGCCCCTTCATGACCCCTGATCCCTCATCCTTCTCATTTCCTTTGACGTTATTTTGTTACAGCTTTTAAAGTATTTTTTAAAACTATTCAACCCCTGGGTATAGAGATGGGGTGGGGGGTGGTGGTCCAGGATTCCAGACTCTGTATGACTGTAATAAAGAGAAATAAACGAACGTGGCAGACAGTCATTTTGAAAGAGGGGCAGAACACAAGGGCAAGAGGCGCTTGGTCTTCCATCACCCACATCTATGTTACACGGGAACAGACAGAACAGAAGAGGATTTATTGGGGGCTCGGCCATCACCTAGAAACCAGGGGGCTTTAAGCAGAGGAGGGGGCTGTGGCAGAATCTGTAGCGGCCTCTGTAACCTGGCGCACCCAATGCAGGTACGGGGGATTCCCCTGCTCCACAGGCAATGCAATCACCTCAGCAACTTCGTAAGGGTGCACAGATCTGCAGAAGGGACAGGGCTGGGGTTATTCGCTCACCCAAAGGCACACCCCAATAAAGTCCACCCCACCGTGTCCACTTCAAAGCTCTTTGGGTGAGCTGGGGTTTGCCTGAAATGCTCGCGGCCCTGGTCCGTCCCCCAGTACCGCCACAAAGAAAACCTTAAAGTTCTTACCGAACGAACTCTGTCAGAGCAGGGACCAGGGAGCTTTGGGTTTTAATCATCTAAAGGGCAAAGACAGACACAGTTCAACCAAGGGGTGGAACTGCTGCCAGGCGAGAGCCACAGCTGTCCAAGGAGCCAGACAAGAGGGGGATTCTCACCATCAGCACCTCACTGTCTTCCTCGATCTTCCCTTTCCACTCATAGCTGAAGAGGTCAGAGAAAGAAGGGCACAAAGTCTTGGGGAAGAATGATTGCCCCCCACCCCGCAAAAGCTCTCAGCCACTTCAGTTAGACTGAGTTTCTGAGTGGCGACTCACATGGACAAGATCTGCGGGATGAGGTTGACGCAGGCTGCCAGGCGCTTCTCTACCACCGCCCTGAGGGTGAAGCGCGGGCAGTCAGTGCGCCCGGCCGGCCTGGACTTGGACGGCAGTCCAGGGCCACCCGCCGGGGCAGCACCCTTCCCCTAGCCCAGCTCTCCCTGGTATGTTCCCAGGTCCCCACCTGGCGATCTCCTTGGCGACTTTTTCATTGGGACAAGTGACAAAGGCTGCAGAAACTGATCCTGGAACGTAGCCGGAGCCCGAGGCCGGAGAAGGCTGGGACGGAGGGCTTCCAGAAGCCATGGACAGCAAGGCTCGGGGCAGCAAGAGAAGGCGGGAAGCCAGCGGCAGCAGCGCGGGCATCCAAAGAATCGACACGAGCAGCGTGGCCTGGGGAAGGGGGAGGCTCAGCGTCCCCACAACTGCCCCAGGACACCGCACGCCGGGCGCCTTCCTGGGCCAGGCGTCAAGCCTCTGCCTGGCCTCCTCGGCACCAGCAAGGAATAAGGCCCCTGACACTTAGAGACACTTGGAACACCCCGTCGGACCCTCCCTAGGAGCTTGGGGTGCAGAAGCCCAGTGAAACTTGGAGACCGGAAGGGGCGGGGCCAGACTCACCCCTCCGCCGAGCAGGACGACAGGCGCCCGCCCACAGCTCATGCAGCCCAGACTGGTGGAGAAGGAAGGGGGTGTAAAGACGCGCGCTTCGCGGAGCAGGGACGGGGAGCCCCAGAGGAGCAGCCTCCTCTAACCTGGGCGGCGCCCACGTGACAGGAGCGGCCCCGCCTTCCTGAGGGTCTTCAGATCTGCCCAATCCCGGCCTTCGAGTGGCCCGATTGACCCGCCTCCTGAAGGGGCGTGGCGGACGGCCCTCTGGCCAATCGGCAGCTAGAACGGAGGCCGTGTGCCGACAGGGCCCGCCCGTTTCCGTGAAGCCCCAGCGGGCCGCTGGCTGGGGGGAGGGGGGGGGGGACGCCGCTGCGGCGGCCGCCGTCACGTGACGGCTCTCGCCCTCTCAGGCGGCGCCGCCTCAGTAGCTGCGGGAGGCGGCCAATGGCCGGACGGCCTCCGGGCCACGTGACGCGGGAGCTGGCGAGCGGCGCCCGCGCTACGTCAAGCTGGGGCCGGGGAGTCGTCCTGAGCCCCGGAATGTGCCTAGTAACAGTCCCCTCCTCCTCCCCACCCCGAGGCCGGCGGCGGCGAGGGTCTGAGCAGGCGGTGCTGGGTGGGGACAGCGCCCCGCGCCAGCCCGCCCGCCCGCGCGTTAGCCCCGAGCTGAGAAGCCAGCTGTCCCCGGGTAGGGGGCAGCGGGCAGGCAGGCTCAGCCATGGCCATCACGGCCGTGATCAAAAGACGGGGTGACACCTGTATATGGACTCGGTGATGGGAGGCGCCGAAAACCCTCAAATGAGTGGCGAGGAGAAATGAGTGGCAGTTAGGGTTCGGAGTGATGGCCCTGTTCCTTCTCCCTTGCTGATCCTTGTCCCCTGGATCGGCCCACCCTTCTCTCCGTCTTGGGTCTCCTCACCTTCATCCAATTCCCCTAAGGAACCAGAACCTGCCCTACATAACCTCCCTGGGGCCCAAACACATCCAGTGACCCAAAAATGGAGAGGGGGCCAGTGAGAGGTCAGAGAAGAGGGAGGAAGCAGCGGGGGAAAGGCTCTGCCACCCAAAATCACCCCTTCCTCCCAGGTCTGGGGTCCCTGGCACGGGTGCTGGAATTCCCGCAGGCCAAAGTTCAGGCTCTTTCATCTCCCTCTTGAGTTGGGGGCGATCCCTCTGCCTCAGAGATCCTTGTGTGTGTGTGTGTGGGGGGGGGTGTCCAATATTTGGGATCTTTATAGGGTCTGAATTACTTTTCGAGTCGTTTGTGGGAATTGAGTCCATGATCACTGACTAAGATCTCTCAGATTTAATGAGTTTCGGATCTCTTGTGGTCCTCTTTCTCCATCTTTGGGTCAGCTGAATGTCTCTTCTCTCACCCCCAAGTCTGCAGTATTTTTTTTTTCTGGGATATGAATCCGGGGTTTCTCATCTCTAGCTAGGTCCTAAGATCTAATTCTGGCCTGGGGCTCTTTCTAATAGTGATTTCATCTTTTTCTTTGAGTCTGGGTCTCTGTTTTGGGTCCTCAAAACTAACACTCTAGGGTCCAAAGTCTAAGACTAACGTCGGTCTGAGGATCAGATTCTAATCTAGGGTTTCTTTCTGCGGGGGGGGGGGTGGCTTTTTCTCTGAGATCAGGGGTCTCTTTCCTCCTAGATTTGGGTCTGTGAGATTAATTTGAGTGTGGAGTGAGGGATGAGGTATCTTTCTCTGGGTCTGGGGTCTGTCTCAGGGTCTGGGGTCAGCTTCTGCAGGACTGCTGCCTCCGGCGTGTATGAGTCAGGGGTCTCTGGCTCTCTCTTTTTCCGGGTCTCCCTGAGGAGGGGTGGGGGCTGCAGAGTCTCTCCCTCCTCCTCCTGCTCTCTCCTCACTAGCTCGCTTCCCCCGCCCCCCCTTCTCTCTCCGTGCTGCCGCTGCTGCCGTTGGTTCTTATTCTCCTCCTCCTCCTCCTCTCTCCTCCTCTCTGCTCCTCTCTGCTCCTCTCTCCTCCTCTCTCCTCCTCCTCCACCTCCTCCTTCTCCCCCTCTCTCTCCCCCTCTTTCTCTCTTCTTTTTCTCCCCCGTCCCCCCGCCCCCTCCCCCTCAGGCCTGATGAGCAGGTCTCGAGCCTCCATCCATCGGGGGAGCATCCCCGCGATGTCCTATGCCCCCTTCAGAGGTACGGTGGTGGTAGGGGTAGGGGGAGGGCCAGGTGGGGGGGCAAGAGGGGGAGGGGCAGGGGGCGGGGGAGAGCCGGGGCCACCGAGGGGAGGGAGCGGCTGAAATGGAGGGAGAGGGGAGGGCTGAGAAGGCAGAGGTGGGAACAGTGGGAAAGGAGGGATTGGAGGTTAGAGGCATAGGGTATGTAAGGGATGGAGGGGCTGGGACACAGGCCTTGAAGGGGGCTGAGGGGAAGATGATGGAGGGAAGGAGCGTCAGAACGGCATGAGAAGGGAGGATTGAGTTTGGGGGAACGCTGCAGAAATTATTTGGGTTTGGGAGCTGTGTGAGGAGGAAAATATCAAGGAAATAGAGGCACGATCTTAGGAGCCGGGGAGAAGGGGAAAATGAAAACATAGAGGTGGGACGAGAGACCGAGAAGATGGGGAGGGAATTTGGTGAGGGGCTCAGAATGGTAGGGGTAGGAAAAGAGGAGGATGGAGGGAGGGAAGGGGCCAGATGGAGAAAGAGGGTGGCAGTGGGGGGGAGGGGGTCCAGATGGAGGGAAGAGAGGAGGGAGAGAAAGGATTGGGGGAGGGGATGCCAGAGAAGAGGGAGGACCAAGTGGGTTTTTTTTTTTCTTTTTTTGGTTGGGTCAGGGGAGATGTAAGATTGAGTCATGGGAGCAAGGGCCAGGTTCTATTCTGCTGGTGATTGACCCTCATCAGGACTCTTGATCGGGAAATGCAACCCCTGGGGCCTCCTCAGCTTGCTTCACTTCAGCACTTTGACCCCTTCCCCCACCTCTTATTTCCATTCCCCCTCCCTTCCTCTGCTGTCCATCACTTATATCTTTCCCCCCATATGGTGTCCGTTTGTTATATGAGTCCCCCTTCTGTCCTTCCCCTGTATTAATCCCCCATCTCATATATATTCCCTCTCCCTCTCTTCTAATAACTCCTTATTACACTATCACTGCTCCTGGACCCCCATGTTTCTGCCCCCGTTAGGTCTTCCTCATTCCCTCTGCCCCATGTTGGTTGAAACCATTTGATCTGTTTCCTTGTTCCTAGGCATCTCCCCTCATCTTTGCTTCCTGTTCTTTTAGATCTACTCTGTTATATGTCCCTGAACCCATCCATCTTCTGTTTCCTACCCCTTCCCACCTCGTCGCCAGGGTCTGTGCCTGTTTATTTTCCTTGTATACCCTGCCTTCATCTGCATTCCTCTTTGGTCCCCTCTGCTTCCTGGGGACTTGGGGGTGCCAAAACACAGGTTGTGATGGTTGGAACAGGGGCTCTAAAGAATCTCTCCCTTGAACTCTTGTGGAAGGTGTCATTGCAGTAAACATTTCCCATTTCCTCTTTCTCTGCCATGTTCCTTTGCCTTCCAGGATCATCATCTTTCTTAAGTCTAGACTGTGTGTGTGTGTGTGTGTGTGTGTGTGTGTGTGTGTGTGTGTGTGTAGTAGTAGTAGTCCCTAAGCTA